TTAGATAAAGTTAAAGAGAATTGTTTCTCATTAGAGAGATTTTTAGTTTTCAAGTGTGAATTGGCTGAATATAGAATTGCATCTTTGATTAATTTTCATTGTTCATTTAAGAATATAGTATAATTGAAGTTGTAGTAATTAATGTAATTTTCAGTGTCTTTTTCGTATTTTTTTTATATATCTATTTCTATATTTTTGGTAATGAAAACTTTGCATTTAGCTTTCCATTTTTTATGATGTGTTTTGATATTATGTGAAAGATATTGTGAAAGGATAGATCTGTTATTACTATGTTATAATCTGAGTTAACTCATTCATTGTTGATAATTGCTGAGTAAATTAGGTGTTGTGTTATTGTTATATTGCACCAAATCATATCAAGTCTTCAAAGAGTGTTATTACAAAACCATGTATATCTTTGAGAGTTTGAATAATATAAATGAAAAATTTTTGAAGGAAAGTAAGTTTGTGAGATTATTTTTTGGAGGTTGCCAAAAGTGTTCATTAAAGTCTCCCGATATTTTGTTGATATAGTTTAGAATTTAATTTTTGGTAATGAGTTCTTTGCCAAAGTGTACAATGAGTAAATATATTGCAATGATATCCAATTCATAATTGTATGTGAATATGTATCAGTCTGCCTTGAAATGTGTGAGATTTTTGTATGTGATGAGCTAACTATTTGTTGATTAAGAGACTGAGACCTAATCCAAAGACTCTTTCATTATTGCATGTTCAAATATAATGATAATTGTTGAATTGGAAAAAGGTGAATTTAGCTGATTGTTGGAGGGGTTTGGTTTTTGTAATGGTGAAAAAGTCAATGTTGAAGAGATTGAATAAGATTATGATGTCATTTTGTTTGTTGTTTTGTCTGAGACTGCATGCATTGATTGTAGTGAAGCATTAAGCAGATGGTGATTTAAGTTTGATAGAATTATCTGAATAGAGGAATTGATAATAAGAGAAATGTTTTGTTGGTTGGTGAAGTTACATAATTTGTTGTTTGAACTGGATATTAAATGAGAATTTGTATTAGATGATATGCAAATTCCAGTTTGAATATCAAGAGATTGAGGCAATGGTTTGATGTCATTCTCACCTTAATTATGAGTTGGTTATTATTATTGGAGATAACCATATTCTCCATGATATATTTAAATTGTTGTGCTTGCATTGTTTAGGATGTTTTCTAGATATTGTATATGTTCGTTAATTGAGATTTGTGATTGTTTAAGTTCATTATTTTGTTGTGTAAGTTCTTTGTTGATCTGAGCTAGCTCATTGATTTGTCTGTCTTTGAAGTTTGAGTTGCTGTGAGAGAATAATGATTGAATTTCTTTTTGATTTGAGTGTGGAGTGGATGTAGTTGGATATGATTATTAATTTGTTGATTAAGTAGGTGTTGTGAAGATGTTTGTGTTATTTGTTTTTTGAAGGATATTGAGAATTTTGTCTAGTTTATTTTTCATATTAGTAAATTTATCATTTAGAAGATTAACATCTTTGTGCAGTTGATTAATCATATCTGAATGTATTTTAGAAATCATATTAGTATTGTTATAGTTGTAAAGATTAGAAGTTTGATTTTTTTTTGGAGTAGTATTATTCAAGTTTTGGGAATTAGAAGATGATAAATTTTGTTGATTGAGTAATGCTTGCTTGTAACTCTTTCGTGGAATGTGAATTATCAGTTTTCTGATTGGGATTTCACGATTTTCATATAATTTATTTAGTTGTCTGAATTGTATAACTTTTTGAACTTTGCTTATGCATTCGCATATTGTGTGATTTTTTTTAAAGCATAAGTTACAAATCAAACTATCTGGTAGCTCCCATCAAATTTTGCTATTACAAAAAAAAATTTATTTAGCATGGCTGAAATGAGATCAGTTTCAGTTTTGAATATGATCCATGCAAAGCGTTGGTGTTGGTATTTAATAGGAGATCGTGGAATAAAACAGGATTTTGTCTTGATAGCATTTAGAATATTGTCGAGTTCATAAGTTGTGGTGTCCCATGGGAGATTGACTAATTTAGCTCTATATCTATCATGTAATATAATAGTTTTCTGTTGTTTAGTAAGAGGAAGAATTCAAATTCTGTCATTTTCAAGAGGAGTAGATCATTCATTTATTGTTATTAGTACACTATTTTCTGATGTAAATTTGACAGTTATATATTCCCACTTTTCTTTCGTGATCATGCGAATTTCTTGAATTTTTCTATAGCTTTTTTGATTTGCATTTTGCTGGTATCTAAGAGAACATTGTTACGACTGGAAATTCTTATAATTCCCATAAATCTTGTAATTTTATAATTTCTATTAAATTGTTATAAATTTATATTCTTTATAATTTCTATATTTTTTATAATTTCTATATTCTTTATAATTTCTATATTCTTTATAATCTCTATATTATTTACATATGTTTTATATATAAATTATTTGAATTATTCAATATTTGTTAATTTTATAATTTTTGATAAAAATATAATATTAGTTAATGGAAAATATTTAATATAAATAAAGCGCAATTGAAGTCTTGAAAAAGGTATCAATTGATTAATACAAAATCTAGCTAGTCAATAAACCACTTCTTGTTTATTGTTTAATGAAATTGTACATTAATTAATTTTATAATTAATTTTATTATAACACTTATCATTATTACGCACTATTGGACATTCAATCAGATTGCTATAGAATATCAGTACTATATTGCTATAGGACTATCTCCACATTAAGTAAATATAAAGGAGATATTTATTAGTAGTAGTGATCCTATTTTATTAATTAAAATAGAAGAAAACGCATCGTACATTGATTCTAAAATAACTGGATCAAAAATTAGTAAATCAAAGAATTATATAGACATTGATTGAACACCCCTGTTATGATTATATCCACCAAGAGCCTGATCGTAACAACATCTCGAATTGCGATTATGTTATTTGTAGATGTTAAATAATTATCTGATTTGATTTTAGTTAGTTGAAAAAATTTGCTATTTGCTGTTTGTAGACTCTTTTCGTTATTAAATTCAACAATAATGTATTTATTTCCGTTAATGATGATAGTTTTTGTATTAATATATCCTTGAATGCTGTGAAGAATTTTGTTAATATTTTTGATTTTGTCTGTAATTTTCTTTTCAGACAGATCACTTTCTTTGATCCATCCTTTAAAGTGATATTTGCTAGTGACAACCTGTCATATTATGTCTTTCTCTATAAATTTATAGTTGATAAAATTTGGGGTTGTTTCATTTTCTGAATGTTATAGCAATTGTAAGTTATTATCATGTAACATATTTTTTTGTGCAGTATTAATATTAAGAGTAAGTATATTTTCATTTTCAGATGTTGATGTATTGCTATATGCTAAAGTGATGTCATTGTTATAATCAGTTTTCATTTTTGTATTGTTTTCTGTATTTATATTATGTAAATTAGTCTTTTTGAACATACTGCATATGATTGATCTAATCGTGTGATTATATGAATTATTACATGATTTTTCTGTCTTTTATTGGTTGGTTTTTTGTCAGAAGATTTTCTGATTTTGTTAATGATTGCTGAATGTTTTTTGAACATTAGTATGAGTGAGGTATAAGGTTACTTGCTGAAATCTCTTAGTGACCACTAAAATTTTGTTGAAATTATAATAAACTATTAGTAAATAGCCTGACAAAATTCTAATGAGTTTTGAAACCCATCATAACTGAAATTATGCTGAAATTTTAATTAATAATTAGTGTGTAACCCGTCAAAATTATGATGATATTTTCTGAAAGGATTTAGGCAAGCATCCTTAGTGAGGTAGCAAAGAATTTGTTGGTAAAGCTAAAAAGTAAAAAAGTATTTTCTTCTTGGAAAGAAATCATTATTATAGATATGTTGGCATGTATAAAGTTGAATTATTATTTTTTTGTTTATGTATTATTTTTATATTTTTGTAATTTTTGAGAAAAGAAAAAAAAATGCGAGAAAAACAAAAAGTGCAAAAGAAGAAGTTAAAAAGAAAAAAGTAATTAGTAAAGATTAGTATTAAATTGAAGCTTGGAATGAATGCAGTGGATTGTGATAGTAGAAAAGCTTGGATGAAACTCTTGATAGTAAACTTGGAGAGTTTTGGTAACTTGTAATTTTGCTCTGCCTGTGAATCAAGGATCTACAAGGGAGAGATGCGATCAGATTATTATTATTGTTATTATGGTGCATAACATCTAAAGTCATCAAACATTTGTGTTTTATAAAATGTATAAACATCTTTACTAAGAAGTAAATACAAAATTTAATCCGTGAATATGCTCAGAAAGAGCCTATTCTATCATATTCACGGATTAAATTTTGCATTTACTTCTTTGTAAAAAAGTTTATACATTTTGTAAAATACAAACGTTTGATGACTTTAGATATTATGCACCATATTTACATGTATTTAAATATACTATTTATTTATATTTTTTAATTGTTTTAGAGATTATGATCAATATCGAGATGATAAATTGCCAGCCTTTACAATTACTTTTCATTATATTCTTCATATTGCCAAATTTATTCAAAAATGTGGACTTTGTTGGACTACTTGGCAATTTCCAATGAAACGCCTCATTGGAATCCTTTAACCAATGGTGAAATCGAGATCTGAACCATATCAAAATTTGGTTAACAATATTTTATTACGTGAAAAATTCAATCACATTCAATGTTTGATCAATATACGAGACAGAATATCTCTTCCTTCTAAACGAACAACATATGAATCAGAAAGGATCTTTTACAATACAGATGATGGAGAGGAACTTTGGTGACCATCTAAATATTATATGATGGATAAATCAAGTCTTGAGTACCGACATCTGACGCGTTGGTATCAGGAAATTATTCTGCTTTGATTAAATTGAATGAGGTAATCTACATATTTCTATTTAAGATTTTATTTTTAAACTTATACATATATTCTTTGATTTAATTGTACATGTAGTTGCAAAATGATGGACAAAAATATGCACGATTACGAACAAAAGAAGGATATGATTGGGTCGGAAATGTCTTTGAAAAAATCCGATATATCAAGAAATAATGGATGTATTGTGGTAAGTTCTCATATTTACTGTATATACATGTAATTGATCATATCTGTTATATACTAATTACATTTAATGTTAAAAGTATGAATTACAAGTTTCAATTTCAGGTCATCAAAGAAAACATTCAACATCCGTTACCAAAATCTTTTATGGTCAAGTGCTATGGTACTTTAGTCACATTCACGACAATGCAACTGTCATGCTCGCTTATGTAAGATGGGCAAATGTTCCGGATGAAAGGAGAGAACAGCCACTTTTTGGAATCAAAAAATTTCGTGAATTTGGACGATGTGAGTTCATTGATGTAAGAACGATAAAAAGAGTTGTTGGATTCTTTGAGGTGAATGGGAATATCTATATTTTGGATAAGGGCGATAACCTTACTTTCGCATAAGACATGTGTGTTAATCTAGATACATGTACATGTACATGTACATGTACATGTACATGTATATTGTTTATAATCACACTTTATCATTATCGTAAATTCATTCGTTGTTATAGTCTCACGTGGAAACTTATATACATGTACATGTACATGTATGAGTGAAAACCACATGTTTCGCGTCTCAATAAATAATAGTCAACGGCGTGACTTGTCATGTGAATACACCTAATTGGACTACGTGTCAGGAAATCGAGTGTTTATTTTAGTATTCCGCAATAGGCTGCACTAGAATCAAGAGATGTAGCGCATATTGATTAGGAATAGCACATCGCTTATTTTTTCTATGTTTTTTGTGTTCCTTATACATTCCTGGATACATCATGGTTTTCCGTATGTACATGTATTCTGTTTGCAACGTATGAATTGTGTTCGCATTACGGTAATCCCTAGCATATTTCCAAACTAAGGTTTTTGGTTCCTTATACATCCCTGGCATACATCATGGTTTTCCGTATTTATTCTGTTCGTTACGTATGTAGTCCGTAATTTCTGACACATTCCGAGCAGAATAATTTGCATTCCTTACGCATCCCTGACATTCATTCTGCGAAGTTCCTGACGCGTTCGTAATCATCCCGTACGACTCCGTAAAGTTCTGTGTGCGTAACGTAATATCCTGTATGAATCACGTAATATCCCGTATGAATCACGTAAAATCCCGGACGCACTTTTCCCGTAGGGATTTTTCCTCAGATAGATGACACCCATGGATATCGATTGTAATCGACGGAGTCCAAAATTGTTTGTATGCATGAGATAAATGTGGACAATTTCACGTACTCTACATTCTGCCCAATGACGCGCTATATTAATAAGAAATTGAAATGGGAAAATCACCGCCACGTAAAAAAAGGAATCGAAATGGGAAAACCACTGCCACGTAAAAAAAGGAATCGAAATGGAAAATCACCGCCACGTAAAAAAATGGGGAAATCATCACCATACAAAAAAGTAGGTACAGGAATGACAACAAATAGCTATTTCTTTTTCTAGGAATCTGTCGCAAATTAACTACCAGTAAAAGCGCTGTTACTTTGATACTAAGATCTTTCGATTCAAGTCCATTAAGGTATTGAACGTGTTTTAACCTATTGTATTTGAAAAAAAAGAATAAAATCGAGCTACATTTTTAATTAGTAAGTTAGATTTGTAGTAAAATTTCAACAAAACTCAGATTATCTTAGTGTTAGATAGATGAATAACCCCAACCCGGATCTTCCCACCAACCCAACCTAACCCGAATCCTCCAGCTAACCCAACCTAAACCTGGACCTTTCTGAGGAGAATTCTAATTTATATAATTAGAATTCTCCTCAAAAAATGTAAAAAATAGTTAATAATTATATCTAAATAAAGATAAAAATAAAATAATAAATATTTTCTTACCGTATATACTGTACATGTATTGTTATCTGCAATTTACCTCAATGCCTTGACACCTTACCTTATTTTCATTCATCTATCTAAGCTAAAATAATTTGGGTTTTACTGAAATTTTACTATCTTACTAATTAGAAATGTATCCCAATTTTATTTTTTTTCCTCAAAGAATCAACAACTATACAATAAGTTAATAACATATCCAAACCAAAAAAGACAGTATCAGCAAGGTTTCAAAGCATCAAAAAGCTTTGCTAATTAATGATAGTATCTTTGACAAGGACTCAATAAAAAAGAACATTGCTATTCTAGTTTGCTTTCCCCATCATCAATTGAAAAGATTGTGGATTATATAACGGAATCTATGATATCCGTTATATAAGCTTGTAGTAATATAGGTCATAATAGAGGTAATAGTGGAGAAAAAAGGGAAAAAAGATAGTGATGGCGGTGGTGATGATGGTGGAGGTGGTGATGATGGTGGAGGTGGTGACGATGGAGGTGGTGACGATGGAGGTGATGATGGTGAAGGTGGTGATAGTGAAGGTAGTGATGACGGAGATAATGATGATGGTGGTGGTGGTGGTGGTGGTGGCGGTGGTGATAATAAAGGTGGTGATGAAGAAGATGATGATGGTGATAGTGAAGGTGATGATGAAGATGGTAATGACAAAGGGGATGTTAATAATGTTGGTGATGGTGATGAGAATCTTTTTGATGGTGGTGGTGATAGGGATGAGGATGACGATGATTTTCTTTTTCTATTAGCGGAATTCACGCGAATTTCTAATACGATATCAGAGAGTCCAACTGTTGGGATTGTTGTCAGTTCCCTAATTAGACTCTCTTTGGCTTGCGCCGCAGTTAATATAGGAAATTCGCATCGTAATTTTTTCTGCGCGCGATTGGATTGTTTTTGTGCGAGTGAAAGGAAGCCCGGGTGCAGTTCATCAACTTCAAACTTTCTTTTTCTTATCTGTGATGACGATGATCTGATGGTGGTACTAGCAGTAATAGTAGTAATAGTAGTAGCAGCAGCAGTAGTAGCAGCAGCAATAGCAGCAGCAGTAGTAGTAGCAGCAGTAGTAGTAGTAGCAACAGCAGCAAATGATGATGACGAAGATGATGACGAAAATGATGAAGATGGTGAAGATGATGATGGTGAGGAAGGTGACGATGGTGAGGAAGATGATGATGGTGAAGAAGATGACGATGGTGAGGAAGGTGACGATGGTGAGGAAGATGACATGATGGTGGTATTATTATTATTATTATTATTATTATTATTATTATTATTATTATTATTATTATTATTATTATTATTATTATTATT